AAATACGACAAAATGTGCTAACAGTTTTGAGGTTAAATGTACGCATATCTATTATATTTAATACGTATATACCAATTTAAGTATGAGAACATCTTAGCTCAATTAAAAGCAATTACAACGATTAATAAAAAGGCTTGACACTCTAAAGATAAGCTCTGCTTTATCTTATATCTTGTAAAGAAGGACTGGGTGTGTTTAGTGTGTCGGATAGTGAACTCTATGATTCATGGCTCACGTCTCGTTGGCGTAAAGACGCGCTTCGAATTGAGAGATTTAGATGTGCTATAGGAGTGACAGTCAAATTCCACTACTCTGTTAGCCAAGAGTAGCTCAAAATTTGGCGGTGGATGCTTTGATTAGCTGCTTTCTTTTTAGTCTATCAGCTCAAAATCAGGGTTGGCTAGCATAGATACCCCTTGCTGCAGGTTTCCGCGAAAACGGTAAAACAAATAAAGAAACGTAGTAAAGAAAGGACCACCCTTTACGTTCGGGCCTTTCAGTCGTTTTGGGTAGCTATACTAGTGCATTAGATTACCACAGTGGTCCGAATTCATTCTGGAAATTCCATGGCTTCCAATAATATACATTCAAGTGTGGGTAATATGTGCATATAATGGTCATATAGAATCTTAATTTATCTGTAGTCCATTGTGTAGCTTTCACTTCGCAACAAACAAAATCTATTTACCTGTATACTAAGAAGCTTAATATTTGCATTGAAAATAAAAAGGGGTGGGATGAGGAGTAAACAATCTTATAACTGGCTGTTTTACAACATTACCGGTGTAAGAAAAGGTGACACAAGATTGGATAGTAATACCTGAATATTAAATACTTCTAAGTTGATAAACGCTTACTTTAGACTTTACTGCATATTATTGGCCATATTCTTAGTCTTAACGTATTTTGTATATTACACATCATTCATGTTTAAACGAAAAGCTTCATATGTAGTCTAAACACACATGTCAAAGAAAAACAACAACATAAAAAACATTACTGTGCCACTGTAGGGTTGTTTCAGTAACATTTCGTTCAACATAAATTCTGAATCCTAAATGTTTCATTTACTTATTTAATTATTATCATAAACATGAACAAGTAAGCCGTTTTTGGCTTTCATAGGTTCATGAATAAGCTGATTTATGTATAAGTTGGATAAACCGTTGGAACAAAACCAGTTAAGGCCGTCAATACTTTTAATGAGTGTTACATTCCCTCGGTTTTCACAGGCTTCAACCTACAAAAATTGAATATCAACGTATATAAAGTTGTCCTTTCTAATAACTTCTTCAATATTTGTCCCAAGAGATATCCGACTGTAAAAGTTTAGTCCGATGAGATTCTTTAGTGTGTTTTTTATAATTATAACACCTTTTTTGTTTTTTCAAATAAAACTCAAAATATTTTCACAACAGACATTTAGGTTTTGTTCACAGTATTTAGAAATAAATTCGTATCAGCATTTTACTTTATTGTGTTCATCCTTGTGTAAAAAAGGCATGAAAAACTAGTAAAACAACAAATAAGCAATTTCTACCCTGATTATTAAATTGAGAAAACTCGTTTAAATTAATATTTGGGTCTAGCATGGCCTGATGGTTAGGGCGTTCGATTTCACAATATGCAGGTCGCAAGCTCGAATTCCGTTACCGAACATGCTTGCCCTTTCAGACGGAGGGAGGGGTGCGTTATAATGTAACCGTCAATCCCACCTTTCGTTGGTAAAAGAGATTGGTGAATATCTAGAAACAAGGTTACATTATAAATACAAGAATCAGTGAAGCATTGAGTTAGTTACAGTTCGTTCAGTTATTGAGAAGTTAGTGAAATATTCGTATCAGTTACTTATTGCGTATATTCACTTACGCGGTCGATTAGCCACGAAATTTTTCGAATAAGTTTATTTGCAGCTACATTAGCAAATATATTTCTATTGAAAGGGAAAACGTTATTTCAGTATTAGTGAACTTAGTTAGGCCTACAAATGCAATTGTGTACCAGTGATAATAGCCTGTAGCAAACGTTAACGAAGAAATAAACTAATTCGTTATGTTACGCGGGCTAGACTTCGTATTATTTTCACCAAATAATTCCAACGAACTCACTCAACTGTAGAATAAGTTACAACAATATTCATAAGTGTACCGGATTTTGTTACAACAATATTCATAAGTGTACCGGATTTTGTTACAACAATATTCATAAGTGTACCGGGTTTTGTTACAACAATATTCATAAGTGTGCCGGATTTTGTTACAACAATATTCATAAATGTACCGGATTTTGTACTTGCAGACTTAAACAATCGTCAGTTGTAGAGCTTATTATTGTTTACATTTATGGTGTATTCGAACTGCGATACCTTTGTTGATACCTCTTATTTCTAAAGGTGTACAGAAATATACCATACTTTTATACATGTAACTGTAGCTAATTCCAGGTTCGAATTTTTGATCAAAATCATTTTGCCTATTTTGTCATAGCATACGACTTTTAGAACACAAATGTACCAAGTTTTGTAGGCTTAACAAACCTCCGGTTACAGACGATAGATCATTTAAGAGTTTTTGAATTGCGTCTTTCCTACTAATCTAAATAAAATAACGTTTTTAATTTAATTTCAACTCTTCTTTCTTAGAGTAATTCCAGCCATTTTCAAGTTGTATAAGTGTAAGGCGAAAGTTGTGTCAAATTGATGTGTTTACCAAGAAAAAAAAGACACGTGTTTCTCCAGTGTGTGGAATCTTTCTTGTGAATTCTCAAGGTCCAAGATTCAGGTCGCAATATACCGCTGACACGCTTCGCATTTGAAGATGTGGACACGTTATAAAAGTGACGATCAGTCTTGGTATTCGATTAAGAGTAGACGTGTAGGCGGATGGTGTTCCTGGCTGGCTGCTCTCCTTATGATGAACATTTCTAAATTAAGGGGTGTATTTACATAATACAACTTAAACGCTAAATACGCCCGAGTTTCGATTGTAACTTGAACTCGTTATATGTCAATTATCCATTCACGAGCAGTAAGTAATCTGTTGATTTGTATTGAATAAACAGTATACACAACAATCCTTAAACCAAAAAACATTCTGATGTAATAAACTTTGTTGTCACTATAACTACGATCACTATTAATTTTAATAATTTAAGATTTATAATTTGAAAGCTAAAAAAAAAACGTACGTATTTTCTACTAGCTGGAGTACCCGTCCCATGGATGGAAGTTATGTAAATTCATGATTAATG